TCACCCCATCTTTAGAAGATAGCAACAGAAACCGAAACAATATCACAAACATTCCGGTTGCCGTCCGCCTTTTGGCAAAGAAAGAAGAAGCGGAAATTGCCACTTTCCTACCACTTGGTAGGCCCGCCTGAAAGAGGAAGGTTCTATTCTCATATGTACGTTCAAACACTAACGAAAGCCGTTCAAATGCAAATAGTTCTTGTTATACCTATTTTTCTGCTGCTGCACCAGTTGGCGTAGCCTTTTGTGAGGTGTTCAACCTAATGAAAATGGATCCATTTGTACCAGAGGAGGAATCAAGCTGAACAAATTGAGCACTGTCCTCTGACAAAGCAACGAACGTATGTACGTTAGGGTGATTCATTTCGTAAAAAAAATGAAATCTTATAGGACACCCTCCAGTGTGATCCATAGCACCAAAATATGAGCCTGTGCGGAAAATGGTTATGATTGATGAAGGTTTAGATGTCGCGCAAATGGTTGTTTGTATAGGGATCAGTAAAAGCGCAGCTACAAAGCAAGATCATGCTGGAGGTGGCTGGGTTCGAATCCCGGTCCGGTCTAGGAATTTTCCGGGTTGGAAAATTTCTCGACTTTCCTCGGCATAGAGTATGATTGCACTTGCCACCAGTGTTCGAAAAAACTTAAAAACTCAAATCTCATGCATGAGTTTATGCGCCTATGAGTTTTGCCTTGCAAAATTCAACGTCGCAAAAATCACCGATGAGTTTTCAGGTTAAAAAATTCATTGATTTATATTTTGGCGTGATTAATTGTTATTACTATTGTTTGTGTATCAGGGGTTGGAAAACTAGCACAACATGCATATGCATGGTATCAATTGACGTTTGAATGGTTTTTATGAGTTTAAAGCTGGAATGATTTTTCGGCGTTGTGAGTGTGAGTCCGTGAATATTAGAGTGGGTCATCGTTGTATGAAAAAACGCAAACTTTACATCACCAATCGAGAACAACCCCTTTTTTTTTGTTCCATTTGGAGTCCCAAACAACTGTGAAAAATTTGGGGATGATTGGTTGTAACTCGGTTTTCCGCATTGCGTTTGAAATTTGTATGTAAATTAGTAGGACAAAACCAACTTTTTTGCATTTTTATCCCTAGAGACCACAATTTTGCATGACCCATGCAACTAAGTATTTACAAATATATTCCAAGAAGTACCTAACAACTTTGTCAAAAAAAATATGGTGCTAGAATGTATCTAAAAAAAGTTATAACCATTCAAATATTTATGGTTTGAATTAAACACCAAAAATCCCTTTTTCTGCCAACACTGCACTATGGGAAATTTCCATACAAGCAGGCGGACAAAAATATTTTCTTCATTTTTGCTTCAATGTAAGATGTTGAATGGTTGCAATTGTTAACCAAGTGACGAGGAACATATTTTGATGATTCACGAACAACTTTTGATAAGGGCTTAGCTTTCAATTGATCTTTAAAAATAACAATTTCAAGCTTTTTTTCTGTGATATTTACTTACGGACAACATATTGTGAATTTTACAACATAGCTTCCATTTAAATGAACGGATATATTCATTCTTCCTAGTTTATTTCAGTTATAAGATAAGAAACAGAATGAGTGAAAAATAAAAGTATTAAAATTAACTTTTGCGTGGACGAATCTGGCATAGTGGTTTAGATCCGTACCTCTCACGCCAAAGTAACGAGTTAAAATCTCACCTCGGACAAGTCAGAAATGACCCAAGAGTGTTAAAGTGACTATAATAAAACAAATAACTGGGAGAATAGGTGTACATTTTATTTCAATTATTATTATTATTATCTCTATTTAGTTTTTATTTCAATATTTTTTACTGTTTTCTCGATATTTAACATTTTTTTTATTATTTAGCACTGATATTATCACTAGCAAAATCTTCTTCAACTTCGCCGACAGCTTCCATAAGTTCTTCCAATGCATTGCAGTTATCATCACCGACTATTGGACAGTTTTCAGAATCTTTGAATATCATAAAACTTTTTAACAATATAATCGGGATAGCTCAATGCTTTTTTGTTTGTCTTTTTTTTCTCCATCCAAATGGTACTCATTAATGGATCTGATTCATACATTGCCGAATGAAGACATCTTGTAAATTTTCGACTCTGGATCGTTTTCTAGCATGGTGGTTCGATATTTTTCAGCTGTTTATGCTGACTTTCTGCTGCTTCTTCTGCTAATATTCCAAGAGGAGCTGGCGAATAAATTGTAATTTCTCCAGCATGAGCAAGTACTTTGTGTACGGTTGCAGGAATTTTATACCAATCATATAAAGAAAGATAAAGTCGATATGTGTCTTTGCAATAGGCATCTTTTTTCTGTATTAATTGGCTCGAAACCTCCCAATTGATTCTTCGTCGATATTTAAAACGCTGCTTAAAAGATGAGGATTTGCGAATCCTCTTTGAAAACCGTTACCTGTAGTGCTCGTACCTCCTCCCGATCTTGGTTGATCAACTCTAACTCCAAATGTTTCATAAAGCTGCGTCGTTACTTGTTTTTTTTTTCTTAACAAATACTGTTCTTTACATGGCTGTAAAACTTCCCATTGCTTTATATCTATTAGATACGAAATATGCAGCAGACATTCAAAGAAGCGTAAGTAGTGGGTATATACCATAGACTAGGGTATCTACGTTGGATAGAAATACTTCTTGTAATTTGGAGTTGCCCCACAAATAGGATAGTTCTGTATTGATGAACTACCACAAATATATGTTAACACTTTGCCGTCAAGCATACTTAGTGTTTCCGTTTAATAGATCAAATTTCACTGGTATTAGTTTTTGCATTTCTTTCTCCACCACTTGTTTTGTATAAGAATTATCTCTCTACTCTCATTCATGAATTGCAGGATAAATCGTCTACAAAACGGAATGCTTTGAGGCATGCGGTTAAATCACAGATTATTCGCCGTCATATATAACCGTATTGGAGAGAGTGTTGATGAAAATACACCAGAATCATCTTGACATTCGTCTGACAGTTTTTGATGAGACTGGGAATAACCGGTTGAACAATCCATGCTCCAACTACTCAATATAATCAATTCTGCATATTCCAGGTTATTTGATGCCATAAACTCGTCGAGTTCCATCTCAATAACTTTGATGATTCGTTGGACTATATATTCCAATAGAGCCTGTAGATTCACCTTTATTTTGGACGCAGTTTCCTCAATGGATTGAATTGGAGGGGCAAGTACTTTTTTTAAATGTCCCAATAACGTTGTATGGTGAAAATCTTGATGGTGCCTCTCGATTGATTCGTATTGACTTTAGCTTGAGCCAGCTTAAATGAACATATTAAATGCTTCTTGAGGTGAAATCATTCCACGTTCATCTGTTACTTGCGCGTATATTTTCTTATAATGTTCTTGGTTTTTAATAATGTGTCCAATGAACTTAACCAGCTTAAAGTTCCGTCGATTATAGGCAGTCCGTCGCGTAATAAATAAAGCCTTCTCGATGCTGTCCACATTTGAAGGTCTCCTTCGTTTTGATGTTGAAGGAACGTTCTACTTCTCTTCGATGAATTCCTTGTTTGCAAAACTAGATTCGAACCAACTCCGATGATCTGAACCAAATCTTTAATTTTTTTGAGATTGACTCCATTATTCTTTGTATTTACTGACGAGTTTCTAAATTTTATCCTGCAGTCATGTTTGCTTTTCCACGAGGATATGATATTTTTCACAAATATTCTTGAAGGCTTTTTGAACGTTTTCGCTATGCGTTAGCTTTGCGTCAAACAGTGAAATAATAGTTCTATTATCCATGTGCACACTTGAGTTTAACCGTATTCAATGAAACTAGAAATAGCACCATTGGCGTAGCCAGATGGGGGCCGTGGGAGGGGGGGAGAGTGGCTTTCGGTGAAATGGCGTTCGGTAAAATGGCATTCAGCGAAGTTTCCATAATAATTTTGTTTCGCCCCTCCCTAGCTCGAAACCTGGCTACGCCCTTGAATAGCACCATCACAATATATTCTTAATACGTCATGTTGTTTTGCTTTTATATCAATTAAGTTTGGTCCGTTGTTCAACAAGACATTTCAATATAACAAATCAGTTTCATTGTAAAAATTAAAAATAGGGTAGATTTTGGCTTCAGCATATACGGCTATACTTGGCAAGCCATTTTTAAAAGTAATGGCACTGAATTATCCCAGCAGAACATCAGATGTATTCAAACGGTTTCTTGGTTTATCAGCTACATACTGATTACAGCTAATTTAGATGTGCTGATAATAGGACAACGGGTTAACATGTAAATCAAATGAAAAGGCTGCCTGTTGTGCGGTAGCAAGCGAATCGAGATTTTGTCAATTCAATGTATTCAGTTTTATTGAATTACAAAATTCCTAATATAAATGTCATATTTGAAATTATTTGTAATTAGATTGAGTATGAGATCGTTCCTTACTTGTAGTGATTCTATACCGCTCAACGTTTTAGTCTAAATGTTCTGTCCAAGTTGTAGCTGTATTTCCTGTGTCTAATTAGATCATAACTGTAGTTCATAAGCTTAAACCAACATTTTTAGTTTAATTTTCACCTTCACTTGTCGATTTAACGTAGTTTAAGCACCTTTCTCGGTCTTTTCTTAGGCCGTATCGCAATATTCCTAGGTAATTTTATAATTAGTTTAAGATTTAGTTATACCGCTTTACGTTATTAACCTGCAGTAGCAAAAAATATTTTCTGCCCGAACTCAATCGATAATTCACTAGTATAAGATTGTGTATTTTACTTAATTTAAGAATTCACTAGGTATTCAGCACTAGGTAATTTAGTAATAATTATTCGTAAGCCGGTTGAAGTGCACAGAAAAACTTCGAACAATAGCTTCTGTTGTTTTTCTTCTGGTCTTCCCACTGTCCCATAGACAAAACAATCCTCCGTACGTACGATGGGTGTGGATGGATTCGACCATCTACGTCGACTGTGTGGGGCGTGTGGGGCTTAACGGGCTCGTCAACGTAGCGCAACCAACACTCCCCCCGGAATGGGCTTCTGGTCATCCTGATGCGCATTGCTTCCAGCGCCTACGTCGAGCACGGCAAGCTTCACAGTTGGTCGCTCGTAGATGCCACCGAAAGTCTGCACAGTAGCACTTCGCACCTGTCCGTCCGATCCCTGCTTTATCCCAATAACTCGGCCTTTAGGCCAAGTGTTCCGAGGAAGTTTCGGGTCCACGATGACAACGATATCGTTGACTCTGATGGGTTTCACCTCCGTGAGCCATTTCGTCCTTCGAGTGATTGAGGGAAGATAATCCCGAAGCCACTGCTTCCAAAATTGGTTGGCTAAAGTTTGCGAAAGCTTCCAGCAGTTCTTGAGCACTTCAGAGCTGTCGTCAAACGGAACCCAAGGCCTTAGTCCATTGCTTGATCCCAGCAAAAAATGATTGGGAGTTAGCACCGGTGACTGGTCATCGTCGATTGGAATGCTAGTTAGCGGACGAGAGTTGACGATATTCTCTATCTCCGTTAGCATGTTTTCGAGGACTTCATGGGACAGCGTTCTGTTGAGTTTCAGTTTACCAAGGTTCTGTTTGACAGTTCGTACGAGACGTTCCCATGCTCCACCCATATGCGGTGAAGCGGGAGGAATGAAATACCAGGACGTATGGGAGGTGGTGAACTCCGCCGCTAGACGATCTCGATCCAAGTTCTCCATAGCCTCTTGGAGTTCTTTACTGGCTCCCTGGAAATTTGTACCTCTGTCACTATACACGACTGCAGGTACCCCCCTCCTAGCCATGACGTTTCTCAGTGCCATAATACAAGAGTCGGTAGTCATTGTGTGAACGATTTGCAAGTGGATGGCACGAGTGGTAAGGCAAGTGGCGAGAAGTACCCAACGTTTCTCGAGACGTCGTCCAAGGATAATCACAAACGGTCCAAAGTAGTCCACCCCCATGTAAGTGAACGGACGAGCGTAGGCGGCCAAGCGAGGTAAAGGCAAGTCGCTCATAGCCGGTGGTTGCGGTCGTGCACGGTCGTTCTTGCATTGCTGACAGCATTGACGGATCCTGTTGTAGGCAGCCTTCAGACGAGGGATGCTGTATCGCTGCCGCAGCTCGTTGATAACTGTGTTATGGTTTTGATGATGATATTTGCTGTGGTAGTGGGATATGACGAGACGGGTGATGTGGTGGTCTCGTGGAAGAATAACAGGATTCACCGCATCCTGATTAACAAACGGACAACTGATGGTTCTACCACGAACGCGGAGTACATCATGTTCGTCTAGAAACGGACAAAGATGATAGATTGAACTGTTCTTCGGTATCGTTAATGTGAAGTTTTCCGACGCTCGTAGTCCCGATAGTACTGCTACCTCATCTGGGTAAGAACTTCCCTGAGCAAGCCGGTACAAATAGTTTTCAGCCGTAGCTAGCTCTGAACTCGTCAACACTCCAATAGTTCTTTCTTCGGGTCTGGATGTCCTCAAGTTCCCGATGAATCGAAACACGTATGCAGTTCGATGGACAAGTGGAGTCCATTTAGAGCAGTTTTGGAGGTCGATGATTGGCTCCGGTAATTTGACGTGAACGAGCAAATGTGGGCGCAGTTCCTCCGTAGTAGGTCCTTCGATGTGTAGTTCCACAGGCCATTCTCCTTCAATGTTCTTGAGAAATTCCGGTCCGTTAAACCATCGGCTAGTTCTAGTCATGTCAGGCACCCGTTTCCACTTCGTGCCATCATCAGCAACGTTCTTTTTAGTTTGGATCCATTGCCACTCGTAAACTTCCGAAGCTTCTAGTATCTCACTCACTCGGAAAGCAACAAATTGGCTATACCGACGATGATCGGATTTGAGCCAGCTGATGACGTCACTGGAATCCGTCCAGAAGTAGCGTCTATTCACCTTGATAGACAGTGACTGTGCTATGCTGTTCGCAAACCTGACTCCGATAACGCAAGCTTGAAGCTCCGAGCGCGGAATCGACAGAAATTTGATTGGTGCAACACGAGTCTTCGATCCAACCAGCGCAGTTTCGATGATGGGCCCCTCCTTGAATCGCAGATACACCACCGCCGCGAAACCCTTCTCGCTAGCATCGACGAAGATGTGCATTTGTACTTCGTTGGAACCTCCAACAGATGTAGCCGTCCTGTAGCACCGCGGGATTTCTACCTTTGCCACTTCAGGAAGGACCTTCAGCCATTGCATCCACATCTCAAACTGTTTTTCTTCGATCGGGTCATCCCATCCGACGGATGTTCTCCAAATTTCCTGCAGTACCACCTTCAGGAACATCAAGAAGTGGCCAATGAGTCCTAAAGGATCGAAGATCATCATCAAGGTTCTGAGCACTTCGCGCTTCGTTGGTGTCCGCTGCCCCGACATTAGCTCAGGATCGTACCGTGGAGAAACCTTGAAGGTGAAACAATCAGTGGACGTATTCCACCACATTCCGAGCACTTTCTCGGTTATCACTCCTTCTGCCATATTAAGGTCCTTCTCTTCCGTATTTCGTTCATGTAACGCCTCCAAAACATCCGGGCTATTTGAGATCCAGTTCCTCATTTCAAAGCCGGCTTCATGGTGAATTTTCTTTACATCCCGTGCGAGGTCCACTGCTTCTTGCTCGCTTTCCACGCTTACAAGCATGTCATCTACGTAATGCTGGTCGACGATAGCTTGAACAGCGGTGGGATGGTCCTTCTCAAACCGTTGGGCGTTGGTGTTTTTGACGTACTGCGCAATGCTTGGAGCACACGACACTCCGAACGGTAACACCAACATGATGTACACCTTAGGATCCGCGTTGCCTTCATCGCCCTTCCAGAAGAAGCACAGTCGAATATCTTGCCTCAGTAGAACCTGCAGATACATCTCCCGGATATCCCCGCAAATTGCGATCCGGAATTCACGAAACTGGACGAGAACTGCAAGTAGCGACGTCAAAAGGTCAGGGCCTTTGAGTAACAGCGAATTGAGTGAAACGCCATAAGCAGGAGCAGCTGCGTCCCAGACTAGCCGTACCTTACCCGGTTTGTTGGGGTTCACAACAGGGAACACGGGTAAGTACCATTCCTTAGACTGATGCATATTGAGTTCATCATCCGACAACTTCCGAACGTAGCGTTTATCCACGTATTCATCCATCTTCGTCGTCACGGTTTTTGCAAACTCCTCATCCCGCTTCATGCGCCGGTCTAAACACTGCCATCTTCTGTAAGCCATTCCTTTGCTACTTGGAAAGCGAACATCATCGTACTTCCAGAGGAGTCCCGTTTCGTACCGCCCTTCTTTTGGGATTGTCAGCTTTTCGAGCATTTCCAAGGCACGTTGTTCTTCCGTTGACCGCAAAATCTTTTCTGGTTTTGCCACTCCAAGGCTATCTAGAGTGAAGTAGTTCTTCATTGCGGTGTGCAGGTTATCGTCGGAATCAAGATTGCACTCACATACTTTAATCGTATGGACATTCACGTAGTTTTGGTTTCGCTGTGTTCGTGAACAACTCCCGTAGATTATCCATCCCAAGCGTGTTTTGACGGCGATAGGTTCGTATGGCTTTCCTTCTCGACTTTTCATAGCATGCCCAAGCGACGCATGGTCAAGCCCAATCAGGATTCGAGGACATACGTTACTGTAGGATTCGACAGGTAGTCCACCGAGGTGTTGATACCGTTGCAGTAACTCAGAATACACTAACGTTTGCGGCCGAAGTTGTAGGTTCTGAATCGTATGTACGTTGGACATCCTGTGCGACTTCGAGGTATTTCCGATGGCTGATATTTCCACATCCACCTTCTGGGATTCATTCTCCACTCTCTTGGTACCACCCGTCCATTTTAAGCACAGCGGTGTTCGAGGCCCCTTTACGCCAAGCTCCTCTGCAAGGCTATCTTCCATCAGTGTTAGCTCTGAACCGTCGTCTATGAACGCGTATGTCTGGATGGATTTTGATGGACCGTGGATTAGCACGGGAACAATCCTGAACAGGACTTCGCTAGTTTGAAGTTGGTGAATATTGCAACTTCCGGTAGCAAAGGTTTGGCCAGAACGTTCCTTTTCAACCTCCTGGTGGTCATTGTGCAACAACGGATGATGCAAAAAGATGCATCCTTTGATCCCACACGGTTTTTGCTGCCTGCATGATACATTGTGCTTACGCAGACATTTGCGACACAGCTTTCTCTCTCGTACAACAGCCCACTTTGCAACTAGGCTTAACTCAGCAAATCTTTTGCACTTTGCAACTGACGGACAATGACCTCGGCATGTGATGCATTCTGTCATTGGCGCTGATGATGATCCGTGGATACCCCGAGTCTTTGCAGCTGCTGATCGGGACAGTTCTGATTCTGCTTCAGAGTGGACATTGATAAATCCATCATTCTTTGCTCCACGACTTCTTTGCGTGCTGAACGAAGTTTGCATAACTGAACTAGCATCTTCCGCGATCGAGTACAGCCAATAACTGAAATCAAGCAGATTTGGTGCTGCATTATTTCTGGAATACTTCGCCCAATCCAGCTTCAGCCCAGGAGGAAGACGATCCACTAGCTCACATTTCAAAGACGCATTGTATACGAAATCTTCGACGCCGCATGCCTCTATCGTAGCTACCAAGTTTTCGACCGTCAATGCAAAATTGACAAGAGTGTCGAGTTTTTCCACTTGTGGCGATGGTAATGACCGAATCTTCCTAACTGATGCCTGAACGATTGCTTCTGGTCTTCCATATAGCATTTTCAACGTAGAAATTACACCGATAACGTTGGATGGGTGGAGTAGCCGGCACAGGCGTGCGCAGCCCTCTTCATTTGGGGGGGCCCACCTACCAAATGGGGCGCTTCATAGCTTTGAGGGCGCCAATAATTTAGAAGAGTTAATGTTTACTTTAGTTATTTCTATGGATTCCCAGTGGAGTTATTCTCCTTTTAAGGGATCCTTAAAAACACCAAGTTAAATAAACTAATTTACTACTACTACTGTTTACAATGGTTCATACAGTTTACATAAGAAATTCATTGATTTTTCCTTTGAGGTAGTGTTTAACTTTGAGTTTAAATTGATTTCGATTTACGATTTGTTTTAGTTCACTAGGTAAAGCATTATATTTAAATGGACCTATATAAGATATTCGTTTTTGACCTTGACTTGTGGAAGCTCTAATGACTGTTAAGTTTCCGGCTTGCCTGGTACTGTGAGAACGGTTGCCAATATTGATTACAAGATTAGAATGTGTTCTATCATTATGAATAATATCGTGTACCAATAAGAGTGTCTGCAGTTCACATAAACCTAAAATTGGAAGGACATTATGATTTCTGCTTGCATAGAGTTCAAACGTTGAATATAACGGAGGTAGGTTGAAAATTATTTTTAAGCACCTATTTTGCAAAACTTGTAGTTTAACTAATTTTGATTTACATGCAAGGCCCCAAGCTACGATAATATATTGTAATTGAGAATGTATGTGAGCATAGTAAAACTTAAGTAAGACATGTTGCGGAACAAAGCTAGAAACCTTTCTCAAAACGCCACATAAATCCGCTACTTTTTTATCTATCTGTTTTACATGTATTTCCCATGAAAACGTAGAATCCATGTAAACACCCAGATGTGTAATGGGCAAGTGAGCTCGCGTACTAGGAGGGCGGTTGCATTGATTGCAAAATATTACTAAAATTTTGGATGCATAATAAATACACAGATTTTTTTAAAATTGCCCTATTTTAAAATTACAATTATATTTCAGACTTGCAAACGCCTTCTAAACAAGTAAGCAAACGCACAAGAAGGGCGGTTGCATTCCTCGCAAAATAATTACTAAAATTTTGGATGCATAATTAATCAGCTGAATTGTTAAAGTTGCCTTATTTTAAAATTACAATTATATTTCAGACTAACACACGTCTTCTAAACAAGAAGGGCGGTTGCATTGCTTGCAAAATAATTACTAAAATTTTGGATGCATATGAGCTCTTTTGAAATTCTTCTCAGAAGTCCTCTGGAATTATTTTTAGAACTCTTCATAACTTTTTTCAGAACACCTTGCCACTGAAATTTCCTTAGAGTTTCAAAATAATTTATTCAGTATTATCCAGACATTTTTCCCGAAATGAGCTACACAGCAAAAATTTAATTTTAATATCACATCAAAGTGGATGCACTTCAATCATGTCAAGAATATGGTATAATACAACTTGCTAAAACTGAACAAAATTATCATTAATACAGTGCAAAAACTGACATTACGGTGCTTTTACTGCATTTGTTTATTTTTGTGGCCATAAAAATTGCATAAAATTTTCGACATGGTTGAAGTGCATCCGCTTGGATGTAATATTAAAATTTATTTTTTGCTGTATAGAAATTATCGGTACTCACTTGAAATTTTCCTCAGAATCCCTTTGGAATTTTACTCATAATTTACTTTTCTTGGTATTCCATTCGGAATTGTCCTGGAACTATCTGCAGGATTCACTAGAAATTATTCGCAGAATTTTCTTGGAATACTTCCTAGAAATCCTTCAGAACTGTCCTCAGAATTCAAGAGCTCTTTTGAAATTTTTCTTAGAAGTCAACTGGAATTATTAAACCCTTCGTGATTTTTTCTCAAAACACCGTGGAACTGAAATTCCCTTAGAGTTTCAGAAATTTTTTTCCGGAATGAGCTAGAAATCATCATCATGGATTTTCACTCCAAATTTGATTTTCTCGGTATTCTTTTCGTAATTATCTTGCAATTAACCGCAATAATAATCTTGGAATTAACTGCAGGATCACTAGAAGTTATCCACAGAATTTTGTTTGAATTCTCCCAAGAAATCTTTTGGAAATGTCCTCAGAATTCAATATCCTTGAGGTTCTTCTCTGAATTTTTTAGAACTTTTTTTTTCTCAGAACACCTTGGAGCTGCAATTCCCCTAGAGTTTTAGAAGATTTTTTTCTGTATTCTCCAGAATTCTTCCCAAAATGAGCATGAAATTATCCTCGAAATTCCCTTGAAATTTTCCTCAACATCCCTTTGCAGTTTCAATCAGATTCAGTTTTTGCAGGATTCACTAGAAATTATTCTCAGAATTTTCATGGAATTCTCGCAAGAAATCTTTTGGAACTGTCCTCAGAATTCACTTTCTTGAGGTTCTTCTCGGAATTTTTTAGAACTCTCCTAAGAGCTCTATTTTTTTTTTTTTTTTTTTTTTTTAACGTCGGTCTCTGTTCCGCAACCTAGTGCCAATCACCGACGGACATCGATTGCCATCCATTGGCGACAATCGAAAGTGCAGGAAGACAGCTTCCACACCTGCGTAGGATATCGCACCCATTCACAACACACATGGGCCGGGACCAACGGCTTTACTTCCCTTCCGAAGGAAGACGTGACCAGAGATTTTTATGCCTCAGAAAAATCCCACCGACCTTGGCTGGGATTGAACCCAGACCCATTGGGGTGTTAGAAAGCAGTCACGCTTACCACTACACCACCGGCGCCGGCAAGAGCTCTATTAAAATTCTTCTCAGAACTCATTTTGAATTATTTTTAGAACTTTTCATAATTTTTCCTCAGAAAACCTTGGCACTGAAATTCCCTTAGAGATTCAGCAAAATTTCCGCAGTATTCTCCTGAAATCCTTCCTGGAATAAGTTAGAAATTATCCTTGGAATTCTCTTGACACTTTTCTCAAAATCCCTTTTCTTGGAATCATTTTCAGAAATCTTTTGGAACTGTCTTCACAATTAAATACCCTTGAGATTCTTCTCGGATTTCTTAGAATTCTCCTAAGAGTTCTTTAAAATTCTTCTCAAAACTCCTTTGGAATTATTTTTAGAACTCTTCACGATTTTTTCTCAGACCACCTTGGAACTGAAATTTCCTTAGAGTTTCAGAAGAATTTCCTCAGTATTCTCTAGAAATTTTTCACGAACTGAGCTTGAAATTTTCTTTGGAATTCCCTTGAATTTTTATTTAAAATCTAGCTATCTGCAGAAATCACCAGAAATTATCCTCAGAATTTTAATGAAATTCTCCCCAGAAATCTTTTGGAACTGTCCTCAGAATACACTATCCCTGAGGTTATTCTCGGAAATGTTTAGAACTCTCCTAAGAGCTCTTTTGAAATTATTCTCAGAACTCCTTTGGAATTATTTTTAAAATTCTTCACGATTTCACAGTTCCTGATGAATTTCCTCAATTTTCTCCAGAAATTTTTCCCGGAATGAGCTAGACATTATACTCGGAATCACCTTAAAATTTTCCTCAATTTTGGAATTTCACCCAAAATTTTATTTTTTCGGTACTCTTTTTGAAATTAAATTCTGTTCCATTTAGAATTTGGCCGTACAAAATAGGTTATTTCTCCAAGTACAAAAAGGCTTAAGGTATCATTTTGTTGGATTTTTATTTAACTTTAAGGGAAAAATACAACAAAAATTATTCATCGGTAGTACTGTCAACCTCATCTACCATCCTTTTCCTCCATTTGCGCTTGATAATTGCCCAAAATTTTCAATGGGACAAAAATCTGGACAATTTGGTGGATTGATACTTTTCTCAATAAAATCGACATTATTCTGCTTATACATTGACATCGCGACTGTAATGGCAGCTGGCTAAGTCAGGCCAGAACTTTATGGGACCTTCGTGTGATTGAATGAACGGCAAAATTATTTTCTGGAGACACTCCTCCTTGTAAAGTTGTCCATTCATACACCCAACCAGGGGATGTAAGATTCGCATACAATTATGTGGGATTCATCATCAGAGGATGTTAGTGGAGACCGCATGAATCAAGAATGCGATATACCTAGCTGCGGTCCAATGCAAGAAAATTGGAGACTGAAAATGTGGAGTGTATTAGTGAGTGAAATGAATTATGTCGAAAAAAATTGGAAAAAGGTTGCCGACTGAACTCGAACCACGAACGTTGCGACTATCAGACCTGTGCTTTCCTCATTGCTCTCTCCATGCTTCTGAATATGGATAGCCTAAAAGCAAACATGAAGCGTTCATTTTCTCGCATACTCGACTTCGCATGCTTTTTCTGCTGGAGAGATTCGAGGCAAGTGTGTGCGTCGTTCTACAATGTTCTACAATGTGCTTCGTTCTACAAGCTTACTGGTATAGGCGAAAGCGTAGATAGAACACGAAATAAAAAAGACAAAAAACCATTACATCGCCTGTAAGGTCAACTTCTAACATTCGCTGCGATGTTCATGAACAGAGGATGATAGGAAGTGGAACTAACATTCATTGTAATAAATTTTTGGTTTGCGTGTAGGAATGTCGGTCTGCGTATCCAATACAAGATCTGCGTTCTCATCCTGGTTCTCAACAATTTCCGGTTCTTCGTTAGAACTGAGATTTTTCATAAAATTTTAGATAAACAGACAAATTGTATTCATTCAGAATATTAGAAATAATTATACAGTAATGAACCGATTTTGTCAGTCCCTCTACGCATCAGACTTTTATATTTTTATAAATTCACATAACCTCAATTCCAAATCTTTCTCATTTATTTTCAAGATGGATGTTTGAGCCAAACTTTGATGCAATGATTCCACTGGAAAATCACACAGCTTTCGTAGAACATAACATTGTTTTCTATCTCATAATTAAAAAAAAATCGATATGAAATACCGAAAAATCAGATCTCTCGAATTTGTTTCACATCCAATTTATTTAAATCATGAGATAAAAAAAAAGTTTTCATACCTACACGGAAACAAATCCGATTCCATTTTCATGAATAAAAAATCATGAAATGAAAAAACTAGCCATCCCATGAAATCGTAACAATGATTCATGATTTCGGGATGGAAATTCATGATTTCATAATGCAGAGGAATCAAGACCGCTAAAAGCGTTACACGTACTTGGCAAACCGTGTTCATAAACCGAACTACATAGGCATCTCTTATTCGCCTTTTGCCTTCCACCTAATACAAGTACTGATAGTCTAGTGGTCAAAGTGTGGGTTTAGTGATCTCAAGGTTCTTGGTTCGAATCTAGTTTTTTGGTTAAAAGTTAACCCATGAATTTAGCTCATGATTTCAACTCGGATGATTCATGATTTTGGGAATGTTTGCTGCGTTACGTAAAAGTTGCTCATGATATCATGAATATTATTCATGGTGTATTTTCATAACATGAAAATACGTTGTGTTCATGAAATCATGAGTCATTTATCTCATTTCGGAGATGGTATTTTTTCTCGTGTAAATTTTCTCTAGCGGCGCCGGTGGTGTAGTGGTAAGCTTGATTAACACTCACCCCAGCAGGCCTGGGTTCAATCCCAGTCGGCGCTGCCGGGTGAGTCCTTTTTTTACTGGTTGAATTGAGATTCGATCCGAAACTTGTGAGAAAATGCAGGCCAACTACCCTGCACTCGATCTTCCTCGTTGATAAGTTAATACATTCGACTGGAGAGAATCGCCCATGAAATATGCTTCCACCTGAGAATTCCTTCCTGACATCTTCAAGTGGTGGATTTCTTTTTATTATTATTATGATTATTGACTGCACGGGAAAGGTCTGCATTAAGCGGGATTTAGATGAGGCAGGTGAGTTGAATTCAACTCAAACCGATCTGGTCGTCGGCGTTCATTTGACTTGGCAACGAATAGAGCAAGTCCGATATCGGTCAGATTTTTGGACGTTCATTTCGCAGTTCAAGTGAGTTGAACGCTGAATTGAACCATCTTAACCCAGCTTAAAGCTGGGTTTAGATAGGGAAAGTCAATTGATCAAGTCAGTTGAATTCAACTGAGTTGAACGCGAATTGAACGTGTAAACCATGCCATTCAACTGACTTGATCAACTCACTTGAATTGAAAAAAGTTGGACCAGGCTCAACTTTTCAAGCCAATTAAATTCAACTGAGTTGATCAAATGACTTGCCTAGTCTAAACCCAGCTTTAGAGAGGGTCTAGGATAAGAGATGAGCGGACGTGGACTGGCTGGTTTTGAGTCAACGAACTGTCAAAGCCAGAGCCATACGAGCAGCGCCTATCTTGATTACATTGGCAATGTTGCTGACCCTCTCATAGTCTGCATGCTTCAATTAGATTTATTTTTATTGTTCGTGACGTAACCCACAATGAAAACACATCAATATTTAATGTAACAACAATTTTTATTGTAATAGAGTTGTTCATTATTGTTCATGATCGAATCATGTTAACAGTACAATAAATGAAAAATACGATAAAAATCATTGTAACAACATTTTATTATGTACATTCATTGTACATCTAGGTAGCAGTTTTGCCGTTTTCGGAAGGGTACAACATTATAACAATCATTTTTATTGTCGACAATAAATAGGGGAATTTACGTATTCTCGGCAACCTAAGCAGCGACTTTCTTTCTATAGCCTTTTTCTCTAAGGAACGCACACATATGCAGTATTGGTTTGTTTACATTATTTTGCTGCCAGCTGCTCAGTCGAAAGAATTGTCAAAAACTGTTTTGAAACGCTTTTACAAAGCTCCAATATTCTCTAGTGAGAGCGAGTATTGTCGGCAACCAGTTTTTCTTCGGCAACCGTTCCATTTAAACTGCATGTAAATCTGCTGTTATATTATCGGCAACTCGAAATCAGCTACAATTTGTAGTGCGTGTGTTGCATTTCAAGAAAACCTTGCTAGATTGCTTTTTCTCAGTGGTTAAAATATAGTCAAATTGAAGCTGAAAGCATAAAGAATCGTTTGCATGCATTCAGCGAAGTGTTTTCGTAAGAAAATCCAGTGAAAATAGTGTTTCAATTTGGGTTGCCGAAAATAGTCTGTCATGCCGAAGCCGTCATTCCCCCTATTAATGTTAGAACATTGTTTCCACTGAAAATTTCACTGTAATTTTTTTTCGGGACGAGCTCTTTCAGAAGATGATATATTTTGGCAAAATTAAAGAACCCAACCTAATCTTCCATCAAAAAGAGCTGACCCCCCCCCCCCACCCTCCCCCTAATTCGAAACCTTGCTACGTCCATGTTCTAATTCGCAACTGTCAATGAGGCCACTTATGTATTTTAACCACAATAAATTGGTATGAATTTCATTGATTTGCCTTATGAAAATGTGGACAAAAAACTAATATAACTGAGACGACTGGAACCGAACTATAGACTTAACGTCACAGGTCCTGGGTCTGCAACACTAGTATATCATTACTTAGAAGAATCAGGTGGCTAAAGGCGTATAAAAGCTATCTGATGTTAGACAAAAACCTTTTATAGCGAAAAAGTTTCCCGATAAAAACAAATCACTGACACAATCACACTTTAGCAATCTCTATGGTACACTGAGGCTTAAGAATTTCATAAGGCTCGACTTTTGAACTACACATTCGAATTTCATAAGTCGCGCTTATGAAATTCATATGTGTCGTTCATAAGTCGAGCCTTATGAAATTCTTAAGTGACTGTCTTGAGGGCTGTCTTGCATCAACGTAGAGAGAGCAAAGTCAGTGATGAAAAATATTGTATTAGGGTTAACTACCTCATTTCCGGCCTATTAAGCACAACCCGCACTTAGTCTTTTTTAATCTAGCGCAGTTTAGCACCAAACGGAATGTTATTATTACTGATGGCTTTCAAATTTATTTACCTTTCCGCACGTACCGCAAGATTTGAAAA